CTTTTTTTTTCTTTCCTTCTTCCCTTTTCTTTCTTTCCTTCCCTTTTCCCTTCTTTCTTTCCTTTCTTCCTACCTTCCTTCCATCTTTCTTTTTTTCATTCTGTCCTTCCTTTCTTCCCTTTTTGCTTTTTTCTCTGCTTCCTTTCTTTTTCCCTTTCTCTTTCTTTCCTTCTTCCCTTCTTTTTTTCTTTCCTTATTCCCTTTCTTTCCTTCTTCCCTTTTCCCTTCTTTCTTTCCTTTCTTCCTACCTTCCATCTCTTTTTTTTCATTCTTTCCTTCCTTTCTTCCCTTTCTTCCTTTCTTGTTTTTTTTCTCTGCTTCCTTCCTTTCTTTTTCCTCTTTCCTTCTTCCCTTTCTTCTTTCTTTTTCTTTCTTTCCTTCCTTTTATCCATTCTTCCTTCCTTCTCTCTTTTCTTTTTCTCTTCCTTCCTTCCTTCCTTTTTTTCTCTGCTTCCTTCCTTCCTTTTTCCTTTTTTCCTTCTTCCCTTCTTTCTATCTTGCTAAAGTGGCCCAGGTATTGTGGGCATCTTCTTAGGAAGATCCCGATGTCAACGCTGCAAATACTGTATATTCTTGCTTTGACAATATGCAGAACTGTCTGGTATTTTTATAGTTAAACCAGGCAACAGGGAAGGGGGAGGAGAATAAGGATAGCCCAAACCGGAAGTAAATCACATCTTCCAAGTTAATTGGAAGATGTGAGCCATGACCCCAAAATAGAGGCAGGGAAAAATGGTTGGAATGTATATGCGTAACGGAAGAGAAGCCAGACCTAAGCATTTCCACCATGCTGTACTGATGTCTCTGTAACCTTAATAAATGCTTTTAGGAGAAAATATGCCTGAAAGTCCTTTTAAGTGTTTCGTTAATCAGACACATGACACCCAAAACAACAGCAGTAACTGCAAAACATCCACCACCTTCCCAAAAACGGCCAAAGCAAGACTCCACACACCCACGTCATGGTCTGTTTCTATTTCATTGGAATGTAGCATTACATCATTTTGGCACCGTGCCAAGTATGACATAATGCTACATTCCAATGACATCATCTTTTTATTTCTGGGACAAGCCTTGGCACAGTGCCAAAATGATGTAATGCTACATCATCTCTTTATTTCTGGGACAAATGATGTAATCCTACATTCGTTTCTGGGACACACTTGGGACACACACTTGGGACACACATTGACACACACTTGGGACACACATTGACACACACATTGACACACACATTGGCACAGTGCCAAAATTGGACACATGAAAAATGAGTGCCTTGCCTTGCCTTGCCTTGCCTTGCCTCTTGCCTTGCCTTGCCTTGCCTCTTGCCTTGCCTTGCCTCGCGCCTTGCCTCGCCTTGCCTGTTTTTTTTTGTGTTTACGTACGTATGTCTTTACTTACTTGGGTTTTCTCCCGCGTAGAACTAGAAGCAACGTTTGGACGAATTCGTCATCTTCACGCTGGTGTCTTCAGCTTCGTGCTTCTGATTGGGTGGAGTTGAAATGCAAAATAAATACACTATGAATGAAATGGAGACCCAATCAGGGCCTAGCTACTTTCCCGGTGGATCCTCCCAAAACTTAACAGTTCTAGCAGCAGTTGATGCAATACAGAACGGCCCTGCCCTGCCCTGCCCTGCCTTGGGGCAAGGGGGCCTTGGGGCAAGGGGGCCTTGGGGC